TCTCCTCCGTGTCGGTCCGGTGGGCGGTCCTCCTTCTCGTGTCGCCCCTGCATGGGGCCGGCTTTCAATTTCTTAGCAGTGCTCGTTTCCTCATCGGCCACTTTTCTCTTTCGGGGGCTGGAACTCGCTTGAGCAAGCTGTTCATTTTCAGCATCAAGTTCAAGAAGGCTTTCCCAAACTGCAATGGCATTCGACCAACTTCCCGGATCGTCATGTATAAGTCTTTGCATGTCATTCGCTATTTTTCCTGGAGAAGCGAGACCTCAGTTGACGCTCTGTCCAGGCTTTAAAGCCAGCCCATATTAATTACACTCATCCCCTCCACAGCCCGTTACCTTTACTGATTTAAAAACGATTATGAAATCGCTACCTAAGGAGTGACTTTAATCTGAATTTATATAATGCATTGTAAGACTTTTTTCCCCCTAAGGAGGTTCATTTTTATATGGTATATACATCACCCAAACTCATTTTCTTCTGGGATGCAGCCCCTAAAATAATTAAATGTCTGGAAATTGAGTGAACTCACTTTGAATACCGCTCCTACTGGCACTTCCATTTCCAGCCATATTGGCTTTCTTGCAGTTCCTCAAGTCAGGTATACGCCTAACTCCAAACCCAACACAACCCACTGCCATTGAGTCGATGCAGAATCATACAGGACCGAGTAGAACTGCCCTGTGAGTTTCAGAGACGCTAACTCTTTCCAGGAGTATACAGCCTGGTCTTTCTCCCTGCTCCTATCCCAGGGCCTGCAGACTCACCGTTCCCTCTTGTCCTGAGCACGCTTCTAGTTACCAGCGTGGCTCCTTCTCTCTCCCCCTTAGTAGTCACTCAGCAAGGTCCTCCCTGCCCACGCACATCAACACACCACCCCCGCACCATGAATGGCAAGTCTTATATATCCCTTTCCTTTATAAAACATCCACAGCACTTACTGCATTTTAAATGTTTTTGCTTGTTTGTTGTCTATCGCAGGTAATACAGCCGGTGAGGGAGGAGTGTTTCTATGTGGGAAGAATGCCGGAGCCATGGCAGGAACTCAGTAAATATTTGTGAACCGAATGAATGAAACATGTATTGATTTCTTAAGACAATAAATATTTAAGAATTGGAAATATGTAGATAGTCAGTATGCCCTGGTAGTAGAAGTGGGTTACATGTTGGGCTGCTAACCCAAAGGTCGGTGGTTCAAAATTACTAGAGGCTCCAAGGGAGAAAGACGAGGCTTTCTACTTCCGTAAGGAGTTACCGTCTCCGAACCCCATAGGGACAGCTCCACCCTGTTCGATAGGGTCAGAATCAACCGGATGGCTGTGAGTTTGGTTTTTGGTTTTATGTCTATTTCACCAAATCCTATGGAGACTGGTAAAACTTGTGAAGAAATCTCTACCCATCAAGAATATATAACTTTAAATACTACAGAATATGAAAGCTTTCATAAAATGTAGGAATTCAGTATAAAAAAATGCTACAGAAGATAAAGTTTTTAAATTCCTACAGAATTATCACAGCCTATTTGAGCAAGATTCTTGTCTTATAGATTTTCAATATATGCACAGAGCTAGAGTGCATGCTTTCCCTAGGGTATAATACCTTGGTACACACTTTAAAACAAGTTTCCCCCCCTGCCTTGATGCCTCGCCCCTCTACCTTTGATTTAGGTTAGGGCAGACACTACGATGGTACAAAATGAGCAATCCAGTAGAAGAGGAAGGCAGTGTCCGCCTGCAGTGCCTGACACTTCTCTGCTGCCTTTACCAAGCTTTTAAAATTACTCTGGCAGAATAATTTGTCCCCTTAGGGGTGGACAGGCTTCCCTAAAAGCCCTTTTAGCTCTAGTGTTTTATAAATGAATATAAATGTATTCAAAACATTTAAGGTCCCGGCCATGTAAAAGTTCCCAATTTTATCATTTATTAAATGAAGGTGGTAGTTTATTATTATTATTACTATTATTATTAAAAGATCCATTTTATTGGGGACGCTTACAATTCTTGTTACAATCCGTACATCGCTTGCATCAGGCAAATTTGTACATATGTTGCCTTCATTCTTTTCTAGACACTTACTTTCTACTGAGCCCTTTTTTTCCCTCTCCCTTCCCCCCACCCTCATAACCCCCTGATAAATTATAAATTGTTA